TTATTTCTTTATTATTTGATATTTGGTCTTCCTATGTAGCCCCATTTATATTGAATGTTGCTGGACGTGTTAGACTGGCATATAATCAACAATTCACTGAAAGTAGTCTCAAGATCTTGGAAAATATATATATATATATGTAAGACTAAGGCACTTCTCAGGATTTAATAACTTTAATATATTTCACCAAATAAACTAAAAAATGAGGGCACAGAGATAACCATAAAGAACTCATAAACAATATTCAGATAAACTGTCATGTGATATCCTACATTTTGAGGTAATGTATAACCAGGTAACAAGGCAGAATGGCAGTGTATCAGTTCCTTTTTCTTGAAAATGGATAGATGTTTTACACATATGTGCAAATGAATCTCATCTCTAATATAATTCTAGTATAACATCCATGGTTGATGTGTGGTAGATATGAGATTCTCCAGTTTATACATTTGCAGACCATATTTCTGTGTCTAATAATCTCGAGAACAAGAGCCTAATGTATGCATTGAATTTATATATAGATACAGGATGTTTTATGCTCATGCTGACGTAATCTGAACCTAACTCTTCATCAACACAAGAGTCTATGCACATATTCACTATTTCACAAATTGAGGACATCATTTTATCCATGAAATCAACATAACAATCCAATAAATATTATGGAGTATTTACACTCCATGTTATAAAAACGTGAACCGTAGCTAAAGAAAACCTAAGTAAAATTCCAAACTATTATGTTAATAAGGAAGCATAGAGTTAAGTTATAAACTAAGTGTTGTTAATGTATTATAGCCAAGAACTGAGAGAGATAATCAAGCAGTATTTTCCAATATTGTTAAAAATGTGCAACATATGAAACGTGACTTTGGAAGCTGGAAAAGGAGCATAGAGATAGAGCATTTGTTTACCAGGTAGAAGGTACTGGGATCCATTCTCAGAGTAACAAATGAATTTTAACTTAAATCATTAAGAGAGAGAATATATGAAGTATGCTTCTACACTCTGGGAAATTTTTGGAGAAACAATTATGCCTGAGGATAGGCTTGGTAGAACATTATTATTGAAAACATGATCAAACAGAGAGAACAAAACAAACAACACATTTCCCTAAAGAAAAGAAGGTGATTGGGAGATGGGAGTTTGATACTGGCTCAAGAATAGTCCATGTACAATCCCCAAAGAGGAGGATGTTCCTAAAAAAATATTGAGTCTCCATGGAGCTAAGTATACATCATTGCTAACATCTACGTGGGATGAGTTAGTATCCTGCTTATGTATATAATGTACTCACTGTAAAGAGACCAAGAAAGCTTCCACCTAGCATATTCCAAGTGTATTGTGAAATTAACCTCTTGTGATGCTCTTGGGTCTAAACAAAGGGCAAGTGTGACAAATGAAAAGTTATTTATTTTTCATCTGCCGTTTCAGTAGTTAAGGGATTTGCATTATAAATGGTGAATGGAAGATCAAAAGGACACCCCGGAATGAATTTCATGGAGCATCTTCTTAAAAATCAGAGGAACCAGAATTAGAGCTTAACATTACCCTTCAAGGATAACTGTAGTAAATAACAATGATTTATCAACAAGGACTTTTCTCAGGAACAGGGTGAGTTTTAAAATGTACTCCTTATGTTGTCCCTCTTATTTAAGACACTGAATTATCATTTGCATATAAAATTGCATATATGATAGATGCTTGTGTTTTGAACAAAAAGATTACATTGACGCTGGACCCTGAAACAAATTCTGACATAATATGTGTTACTAACTCTTGTTAACAAATAGAACTTTGATCTCTACAACTTGTTTACATTGAATAATCGAACTGTCCTCCTATTTAGTGAACATAATCTGATTCCTCTTCCACAGGCTCGAACCACTGTATTCCTCTCTGCTTCTTTTAACACACCTGCTTCGGAGTGTGCATATGAGGGAGATTCTGCGGCACTTTCTGTCAGTGTGCTACATTTTAGGTGACCACACTGACCACATTGATAATTTGAAGAGCTAAGATGTGCCTGTCTGTCCTAATTGTGCAATCATCAGAATCAAGTGAAATTCCTAGAACGGCAAGCAGAGAATATTGAGTTGGTTGGCACTCAGATTGCACTGTCTTATTTAGTAACATGATCTCCATGGACAAATCTCAAATTCCTCTAAATTTAGGAGTGTTCTAGAACACACTGGCTATATCTTCACCATTCTTAGACTCTGGTTCTTTTGTTTTTGTTGGAAACTGTTTGTTGTGCTTTCTCATCAGAGTCCAAACTTGGGTGAACACCGAGTTTGTATAATGTCTCTCAATATCAGGAAGAACCTGTAATAGTAAAGACAGGATGAGAATAATCACTTCTCTCTTGGTCCATTCCATTTCATCCCTTCCTCTGGATTTTTTTGAGACAGGGACTCCCTGTAGCCACAGCAGGCCTAGCGCTCACCATATGGGAGAGTCTAGACCTGATCTCACAGAGGTGCACCTGGAGCTGCCTCCGGAGTGCGAGGATTAAAGACATGCACCACCATGCCTGGCTTCGATTATTTTGTTTTTTTTTCTTTAGGGACATGACAGCACGGGCCTCAGCTCTGTAGTCTGTTAGGTATATGCTTAATGATATTTTTGAGACTCTAACATGGGGAAGAGACTGTCACTTCATACCACTGAAGCATGGAAGGTGGTTTCACTGAATTCAAATAGATTATTTACAGATATCCCCAGCTTATATTTCAATTTGTGATTAAAGATATTATTAGTTAGTATATTATTAGGTAGTAGTTCTGCCCTCTGTATCACAGGTTTTTTAAAATATTTTATTATTTTTATTTAATGTGTATGAGTGTATTGCTTGCATGTATTTAAGTGCAACAGTGTCGTGCATTGCCATGGAAGTCAGAAGAGGGCTTTGGAACTGGAGTTAAGGAGGATTCATAGTCGCCTTGTGGGTGCTGGGAAACAAATGCAGGTCCTTTGCAAGAGAAGTCAGTGCTCTAAACTGCTGAGCCATCTCTCCAACGTTTTTTGTTTTTTTGTTTTTTTTGTTTTTATGTCTCTGCAGAATCTCTTACGGAGGAATAGCTCTGGCAAACGACTCTTTTGTAACTGAATTTATTCTCTTGGGTTTAACAAACAAGCCTGAACTTCAAACACCACTGTTCCTACTCTTTCTAGTAGTGTATGTGATAACTGCGTTAGGAAATTTGACTTTGATAATTCTAATTGTGTTGAATTCACATCTTCACACCCCCATGTACTTTTTCCTACTTAACTTGTCCATCATAGACTTCTGTTTCTCTTCTGTAATTACACCCAAAATGCTGATGAACTTCATACTAAAGAAAAATATCATTTCTTACACGGGTTGTATGACTCAGGTCTATTTCTTTTGCTTTTTTGCAATTTCTGAATGCTATGTACTTACATCAATGGCCTACGATCGCTATGTGGCCATCTGCAATCCACTGTTATATAATCTTGCCATGTCCCACAGAGTGTGTTTATATCTCATGCTTGGCTCATATTTTATGGCAGTTTCTGGTGCCATGATCCATACGGGATTCATGCTGAGACTGACCTTCTGTGATGGAAACACCATCAACCACTATTTCTGTGATCTCATCCCATTGCTGCAGCTGTCCTGCACCAGCACCTATGTCAATGAGGTAGAATTGTTCATTGTAGCAGGAAAAGACATCATTGTTCCCACTGTCATCATCTTTACATCTTATGGCTTCATCCTTTCCAACATCTTCCATATAAAGTCTACCGAGAGCAGGTCCAAAGCCTTCAGCACCTGCAGTTCCCACATACTTGCTGTTACCATGTTCTTTGGATCAAGTGCATTTATGTACCTTAAACCTTCCTCAGCTATTTCTATGAATGAGGGAAAATTTTCTTCCATCTTTTACAGCACTGTAGTTCCAATGGTGAACCCCTTGATTTATAGCTTGAGGAATAAAGATGTTAAAGTTGCCTTGAAAAAAACCCTGAAGAGAATTTTTTAATCACACACCTAATCTCTCTATGTCTGCAGATTACTCACTGACTGATGGTCTGTCTTTACTATAGTTTTAGAGGTAGCTTTGTTTCATTGTTCATTCTTAACACAGTGATGGAAATTGTAAATTGTTTTGTTCCTAATTTGTTTTTATAGTATTCCTTGTTCCTTACCAAGTGTGCAATTGCTTCATCTTTTTACCTCTTTAATAGTAACTTAAATGTACTTTAATGTACTTGTTAATGTACTTGTTAATTTAGTTAAAATCCAAACAATAACATATCTGATATTTATTAAAATGATGCTTGATTGCTAAAGTGCATTTATGGAGGGCCATTCATATTCGCCACATGAACAAAGACATTAATCTAGCATTCTGTCTGTGCTCTTGTCTTTCTGGATAAAAACATGCCTCTTTCAGCTGTCTGTGCTTAATAGATGGATGTTCCCAGACTGCCTTTTGAACATAACCTACATTGAACATGCTAACACCATATATGTATCAAACATTTTTGTTAACTGTCATATACTAAACATAAATATTAACCAGAATATTTGTTTTGTTTAAAATGTATATATTACAGAAACAGGACATTGAAACTCAGCTAGGTTACCAGATTACATAATGACCCAAGAATCTTTAAAATAGGGAGGAATATTTAATATCACTTTCATGTCTACCATCTTTCCCCATATATAACTGGTTTTATTACACTGAAATGAAATATGAGATAACATTTTGACCTTGTGGTGTGTCTGTTGTGTGCTCTTTGGTATATTTTTTAAGTTCATCAGAGATTTGTTCCACCCTTATTTTTTCAAGGTAACAGATTGATGCTTGTTTTGTTGGAAAAGAGAGTATGTACTGTGCCAATATAATTGGGAGATAGTGGCTTAAGTTGGCATCTGAGTTTGGGTATGAATAGAGTCTGAAATGTCTTATGGAGTTTTTATTTGAGGGGATAGGGTCTTGGATGAAAACAGAACTCAAAGGTCACAGGTCAAAGAGACCTGTAGCCATGTAATAGACAAAGACTCTGTGAAGATCTGTTGAAATTTTAAAGCAATTTGATTCAATTTTGATTTGGTGTGTAAAGTTTTAATCAATTTCCTTTGCCTGTTTATAAAGTTTGGTTGAACTTACTATCCATGATGAGCATTGGCTAGCAGCATTTGAGGAATGGCATGCAAATATTGTATAAATACTGTGGGAATTTAGACAAGAGACAACAACCTTAGGAACTAAAATAGCTGTGAATCTTACTCAGTTTAAAAACCTAGTTTGTAAAATAAAATATTGTATAATGTGGAAACTCCTACTTTCCTTCAGGATACTGCCAAGAAATACTAAGAGTATAGAATTTCTCTAGAGATCATATTGGCTTTAGTGATTTATGAAGAAATTAAGTTCAGACTGCAGGAGGAAACAGCTAAAACTAAATTCACAGTGTATTTCTTAATTTCATTTCCTTTCTAAGAGTGAAGAAAAGATTTAAAATTTCCTTTGTCTTGGAAAAATATCAAGAATTCAAAAGTCTGTTTAACAGTACAAACTGCAGCAGTCTTTCCGAGAAGAGGATGGTGGTTAATTTTTCTTGTGAGAAAACAGATGAAAATGACTCAATTGAGATTTCTCATCAGCTGCCACTTCAAAATTTAAATGCCTTTTAGGGTCTCTGGGATAACAATTACTTCTCTTTCATTTTTCTACTTTCCAGTTAATAGTCAGCATACAGTACTGAAGGTGGTGGAGTGTTATCTCAATTGCTTGGGTTTGGATATGCAGCATGGCTAAATTTCCTGCTTGTGTTTGAAGTTTTCACTTCTTTCCCATTCATTGACTCTAATATCAATATACTTGCCTTTCACTCAGTGTGTTCTTATTCTATAAATGATTGAGTGGAGGAAAATACTTTACATTTCACTTTTAATTAAGCTGAAGAGTAGATGAAGGAAGTTCATCTGTTGTGCTTTTTCAGAAAATATGGAGTTTTGAACCTTGAAATTGTACTTAGTGTAGAGAGCTGGGCCTCCAATTCCTGAGTTATAGAGTCTGGTCGATCGTCTGCATGGTTAAGACATTCTCAGGCAGAGTAGTATAACCAGCTAAACATCAGTATTGAGGCACATGCTAATAGCGCAGTATCAGTAGGGAAAGTGCTGTGTGGTTTTCTCTGTAGTGTTGCAGGTCTCATTTGTGGGTGACTCTGTTTGTCAGGAAACATATGGGAAGTGGCAGGTGGAAGAGACCTAGTTGACACTTCATAAATGCTCGGTCAGAAACTCAAATTTTGTGTGGCTCATGCAAATCAAATTTCAAAAGTGGCATGGCTGAGCCAATAATTGATATTTTCATTAAAATATATTAATAATAAAAAATTGTAAAAAATTACTTATAAAAG